CTGGAGGTGTAGTGTTCAAGCAGCACATTAGCCTAATTTGTAGGAGAATTGTCCACCTTCTAATAAAAACCTACCCCCTAAACCTAATGGCATCTCGCAGTCCATCACGGCACCCAGAGGATCACTCTGTGCTACACAGAGACATCTTGAGACATCTGAGGTGCAGATGAGCAGAACTGCCCTGGGCAAGGACCTACTGCTGGTAAATTAAGGATATCAAGTCAGATAGCAGGTAAAAGCCCACCACTTAGTCTTTGCCTATTATTTTAAACAAACATCTGGATGCAAAAGTGAGGTGGTTTCCCATGGGTTTAGTTGGGGCTTCCTGTCTCACATGTCCTCTCCTTACCTCATTTATTTTTCCTTTCCTAAGGAAGCAGTGAAGAAAAAGAGGGAAAGGATTGTGAGTGAGTTTGGGAAACTACATCGGCTCCTGGCTGATGAAGAGAAACTGCTGCTTCAGAAGCTGGAGGAGGAAGAGAATCGGATTCTGCTGAAGATAAGTGAAAACCTTGCCCTGCTGGTAGAGCAAAAGTCCGCTCTGGATGAGCTAATCCTGGAGATAAGAGAGAAGTTCCAGCAGCCTGCTGATGGCTTGCTCAAGGTTAGGCTGTGCCGACAGCCCTCTCTTCCCTGGGAGCGGGGCCAACTTCTGGTGTGGGGCTGCCAGGGACCAGGCTGTGACACAGAGAGAGGGAAGTCCTCATCAAGGGGAGGTTTGGAAAGCTCTAACTGCGCTGGAGGCTGGAGGCAATGAAGTAAACCAGGGCAGAGTGACTCTGTCTGCCCCAGACATGTTTGGGTTGCCAAAGTACTGTGGGATGGAGCTGTGCTCTGGAAAGCAGTGGCTGTGGTGATGAAAGGCTCTGCGCTGGTGGTAAGAGATGGGAGCTGGGTGGTGGGGACATCCCTGGGGAGATGTCTCCCAGGCATCATGTAAGGTTTGCCCCTCCTGCTGTGTTGAAGAAAGGTCTGCGCACACTGAGGTGTGGCCAGTCCTCAGAAGTGGAGGAGATGTGTGACCTACAGTGCAGTGTAGACACAGTACCTGCTGTGGACCTTGGTCCTGTGGAGCAAGGCAGCTGGCACTGAACAGGCCCAACCAGGCAGCCCGTCAGAGCTTGCTTGGGTCTGTCACCCACTTGCCAGGGCAGGTGTGCCCTAGGGCTCATGACAGTTGAGGAGCAAAGCAGGGACTGAAGGGCTGTGCAGAGCGTGGCGGGTGGCTGGGGGACAGACTGGCTAATAGGTACAAGGCATATCAAGAGTGACATACCAAGAATGTTTTTTTTCTCTCTTCTTCTAGGATATGAAAAGCATCCTGAACAGGTAGGTACCCGTGATCGTTCCTCCTACTGTCCTGGCTGCCTCCAGGCTGTAAGTGGTGTTTGCATCCGTGTTTGCTCTGTGCCAGGCCAACCTCTGTCTTTCCTGCACAGCCCCAGCCCAGCTTCAAGCTAGGTCGTCCCTAGCAGGAGGATGGAGACAGGTAGAGGAGGGATCTGAAACCGGTGCAGACTATCAGGAGAGACTCCATGCCTTTCTTATTTCCAAGACCCTCAGAACTAAGGTGTTGCTGAGCCCTGCAGAATGTGAGAAGGGCTCCTAAGGGCCATGCTGCTAGGCTGGCCTCCTTCTTTTCCATGGAGTATTCCTTCCTGGGATTAGCACTGCAGCTCATCTGGGACCCTCTTGTAATTCAGATACGGAGTGTAGATCCCATCTGACTTGCAGCTAGGGAAGCAGTTAGTTCAAGTGCTCTGCCATGGCTGAAGAGCTTGTAGCAGGAGATGCAGGGACTCTGGGGAGTTGGTATAGGGGTTGCCAAGGATTGGAGA